ACGATGAAGCCAGCTTGGACAGCGCGCTTTCAGGAGGGGATTCTCTTGCCCGCCTAGGAGGACGTGTGAAGTGTATGACATTTCCGGGCATGCAAAAAAAAAAAACGGAGTTCGACCCGTGGACCATGTATGTATTCGCTGACTAAATATTGTGCCTTTTTGACCAGATCACACCAACACTTTTATTGTTCCTAGGATAGTCTGCATAAGTCCTCGGATAGACGATATCCACCTCTGAAAGTCAGAATAAGGATCAGTCTAGGGCAAGGATATTCTTTCGATCGCGCTGTTGATTGAATTTCTTAGATCCCTCCGGATAAAGTAACCCGCACAACGATCACGTAATCTGGGATTCCCACTCATGTTCTCACCCACGTTATCGCACCCAAGGTCGCGCGACGCTAAAACCGCGGTCACCTGTTCCTCCAGGAAAACCAGAACAGAGAGCTAGCGTTAGCAATTGCGTGCGGCCTAAGTCCAGCCAAATGGGAAGCCCTGCTTTCCACACCCTATGCTCGTATGAAGTTGTCGACACATAGCAACGTTAGAGGAACGCGAATGCAAGTGGGCGGTTATGGGGATAGGAGCGCGATCTGTATACCCAAATAGGGCAGCTGCACTGACCCTCTGAGCTGAACTTTTGTAGATTGTGATTGGCACGCCTTGGTCCACCTGAAACACTCCCGAGGTCAGCCTCTTGGCACCTGTTGCCTCGGTACCTTTCTTAGATTCATTCTAAACCACAATTGTATCTCATAATTGTGCTCGAACTAAGGAGAAGAATGGCAAGGCCACTGCTGCCTAACATTCTTATGCTTTCGACTTTGGTACCCCGCCGATCTCTACGGAATTCATACATGGCTCACGTAAATATCCCCCTTACACTCTGTTCCCGGGATGGTTTCGCTTATTTGTACCTAGAATGGGCTAAGTCGACTTCGGTACGCTTAAATACGCCCGAAAAATCCGATATGATGAGATGAGACATCACAAATTTGTTCCTGACGTTTCGTTGTGTGTGTCCATATGGCTGGAAAATCGCAGAGTACTAAAAACATCATTGTTGCGGCTGGTCATGGCCGACTCGATCTTGTCGCAGCGCTCTTAGAAGGCGGAGCAGATCCGAATACCGTGGACGATGTCGGAACTTCCGCCCTTCATAACGCAGCAAAAGAAGGCCATTGGGATATCGCCCGCCTGCTTCTCGAGAACAATGCATCACCCCGAATTGAAGATGGCAACCGCGTAACTCCACTCCGCCTCGCCGTAAGAGCAGGTCACGAACATATTGTTCGCTTGTTCTTAGAGTGTGATCCTCCTACAAGCGAGACAAAAGAAACCGAAACATTTAGACTCCTTCGCATTGCTGCAGCTTTTGGCTTTACAGAAATAGTCCAACTCTTTCTGGATTGCAATACCCCCACACTAGGCTGTAATGGGGAAGAAACGGCACTGCACTTGGCGGCCGCAAGGGGACATCATGACGTCTGCGATCTTCTCCTAAAGTACGACAAGACTTTGAATCGATCGTTATGGGCCCGGATCGCCGGACCCAGTTTGGAAGTCGACTCAAAAGATTACTCGGGAAACACGCCCTTTGCGTACGCAGTTGAAAAAGGTCATGACCAGACCGTGGAAGTCTTTTTACGCAATTATCCAGAACTGAGCAAGACTTCCGATCGCCACAAAGAGCTCCTTTTCCATAGGGCTATCAGAGAAGGAAAGATTGAGATAGTTCGAATATTTTTGAGTCATGGCGCGAATACGGAGATGAGAAACAAGTACGGACGTCGGGCCCTTCATGTGGCGATCACCGCCGAGAACATGAGATACACCACTGGGGGTATTGAGATGATCCAGCTTCTACTTGCGCATGGTGCTATAGTTGAGGCAAAGGACGAGGATGGCAGGACCCCCGAGTTTTTCTCCGATAATCCGAAGACCAGAATGATATTGCGTAACCATGCAGTTGCGCACTCAAAGGGTGATTCACTACCGATAGCGTCGACGGCTTCGGCTCCGCCACCTGAGTACAAGGCATGAACAGTGGAATCGTGGAGGAAAGCCATGGCTTGGAATCGCCATACCAATAGCAACTGTACAATGGGTGTCTTGCTTGACAGAGTAGCTGAATATCTACTGAAGCATTATGGAATATAGTTTGGGAAATTCCCTTTATCAATATAAATATGCGATTTAGAACCTATTCCAGGGGTAGGGAGTTAGGCCTGGAATAATGCCGCAATTGTTTGCATTCAAACACACAGCTCGAACTTCTGTTGAGTACCTCGTGTCTACGATAATACCGTCATTTTTGCCGCAACACATCCAACAATCGCGACCGCAGACCCATCAACTGATGAATGGTCCATTTCCGATTTCTATATTGAATTATCTATTGAAAGGCCTAGTAATACAACAAACATGGCTGACAGCAGCCAATCCAGAAAAGTTTATCTAGAAGTACGACCCTACCTCCCTGGCAATCCGCACGAAGAACGAAAAATATGCTTCGGAACGCAGACACCACATTTAGATTGGCTCTACAGCTTCCACCATACCATCATATCGTGCTTCCAATCTCATTTACTAGCTAGTAGATTGGCACAGATATGCCATTCTCAGAATCAATACAGATAGCATGATTCCACTCCCTGGAAACCGATGTAAGGCTTCTGATAGCTGGATGGGATAAGATTCAACGGCTGGCATTCTTTTACTTGAACGAAAAGCTTCCTCCGCATATACCCTACCCCTCTATTCTTCACTTGCGTTAATCACACCCCAATCACCTTCTGCCCAAGATGACGTCATCTTAAAGGCCTCAATCTTCCACAGTCCACTCCCCTCATCCTTTACCAAGTCAGCGTAATACTGCACCCCAGCCAGCAGACTCGTTAGGCTCATGTCCCTTCCCACCGCGGTAGTGCTGCGCAAGCGCCGAGGCAGTCGCCGCGGCCTTCACGCCACTGTCAGCAATATTGATGCGGATGTTGGTGACGAAGTGTGTGGTGTCTAGCTTGCTGACCACTTCGAAGCAATTGGTATGGATGGCGGGAAGGCCTGATGAGACCTTGCCGTTGATGGAGAACGTAGCGGTAGAGGTGAAGGACGAGTCGAAGAGGGCCATGTCGTTTGTGTCGAGCCCGAGGACGCAGCGGTAGAGTACATCGGCGATGGCATCGCGGCCGCTCAAGGCGGGGTTTAGGGCTGCGGGGAGGGAGGGGATGGATGCCATGATAACAATAGGTGATATGGGAGGAAGATGGTTTTTAGAAGTGAGAAGTGCTGAGAATGCCGGGCTATTATTATCGGAAGTGATAGAGAAAGTAACCTTGGCGCCGATATGTTAGGGTATTTAAGCATATATAGACCTCTATCCTTGCGATCGTTAACTCCGCTGGACCATTTTTATCTCCAGGGATCTGTCGGAGTTAGCGCTCATCTCGGAAATTACCTACAGTCTCACATACAATGTTTAGTCGTCACTGAGAGCTGTGACGGTTGTTTGCGGAGCCAGCATCTATCCAGGAAAAATGTGGTAGAATCCCTGTTCTCTTGCTCGTGCTAGTTGGTCAGTATTAAGGCCACGGAGTCCGGACACATAGTATCTCCCTCGATCCGATACTTCGTCTGGCTGAGATTGAGACCCGCCAATTCTTGCTTATGGGCACTGAAAATGCTTCTGTGGATGGACCGGAGTGGGGGAGTCTATGATACTGAAAAGGCATCTCGTGCGTAAACTGTGAAGTAGCCCAGCAAGATATCGTAGTATTCAATAACTAATCTACTATTGAGGTAGCTGTGCAGCGGGAATACCTAAATATGAGAGCGGTAAGAAGAAGGCTAGGAGCGATGCGGTAGCTGGCAGAGATCATGCCCAGTGATGGCAGTCGGTGACATAGAATACGTCCATGTCTACTGCGTTCTTTTTCTTCTTACGCCTAGCAATCTTATGCTCGGCAGGAATATATGTTCTAGAACTCATGGTCTATATTACCCTTACACTCGTAGAGATCAAGAAGACAGCATACACGTCGCATCCGTTCATAGATTTCCCCATTCATGTGGCGCCGGGCGAAGAGGGTAAAGTATTCCAAGGTCTACAAAGGCCTTGTTAGCATGTACTCATTATACGATTGAGCCCTAGAGAACTTTGCTCGTGCGGTATTGTTCATTCAATTAAAGGAATTGGTATAAATCGCTCGGTCCTTCCAGAATCCTCTTTCAACTGCATGTAATATCTGTCTGTCGTTTGTCCAAAAAGGACCGATCTATCATGGACCAAGTTGAAGAGGATGACAAGCTCGACAATGCCATGAGAAGATGGTGCAAAGACAACAATATTATCGTGCGAATCGTGTTATCTACATATTTAGTTCCACTAACTGCTTTAAGAAGCCTATAAGCAGATTTCCAACCGCAACCTTGTGAAAGACCTTAGACAGACGACATCAGAAATATTCAAAAAGGCCGCGGAAGCCTTAATGCTAGGACCAGGGTGATTTGATGTCAACCGCCTCCTCGAAGTAATACCGTACAGTTCCGTACTCTTGTACCAGCCATATGCTGACGTTATATTCTAAATATAATGACGGCATAGCTTGAACTGACAAAGGAGACTGTTAAAAGAGGATAAGGTGGATGCTATATAATTAGACACGTAAAAAGACCACTACCTGAGAAGACCGCCAAGAAGATTACGGCCACATAAGTGGCCGACTGTTCTTGTCTGTATGGTTCTAAAAGTCTATCTCGATAAGAAAGAATAAGATAAGAAAAGGTTAGGATATACACTAATAAAACGGCCCTTCAAGCCCTTTTATGTGGCTTGAATAACTATTCAATTCTTAAATATGGCTGACGATCTGACAACAGGACCACGGCCTATCCGCTCCTAACCCTGTAAACCGTGCGACAACTCAACGAACCGATAGACGGAACCAACGGCAGATTGCTTTAGCACTTCTAAATCATATCGGTGCCTTTCACCTGGACCTGAATCTCAACCGGCGACTCGATGAGACGGCCAGCCACATCATGCGTCGCATCCCATTTTGCAACCTCGGCGGTAGGGACCTTTTTGAGCCGGTGGCTCTGAACTCCACCGTCTAGGTACAAAAGTTCCTGTCGCAGTTCGTAGCCCCTCCATTTGGGAATAAGGAAGGCCCAAACATAGTAATAGATGCCGCAGGCAAGAAGACTAGGTAGTTTCAGTTAGTAACAAGGGACTAGTCGCAAAATAAATGGATAGGTGAAATTTCGTTGACTTACATTCCAATTCCCGTCACGGCATACGTTGCATACCAAAAGCTGACATCGCCAGCATACTGACCACCTGCTGGCGGATACCAGGGCATGACAAGGAGGTAGAGCTGAACGAGGATATTAAACAGAATCACAAAATTCCAGGCTTTGAATTCGGGCTCGGGGAGGTTCGCTTTACTTCGGCGCCAGCGAACAACGTAGATACCAAGAGCCATTGCAAGGTTAAAGGCAGCAGAAGGGATGATGTGCAAATCATTGACTGTTCAGTATTAGCATTGAATGACCATCCGACCGGCTTCTGACGGGGAAAATAAAAAGAAAGAAAGAAAGACAGGAAGAAAAGAAAAGAAACATACCGAAAGTGAAAGCATCTCCAGCAGGGACGGCTAGGATCATCAGCGCGGTCAGAGACCAAATAATGGCATACGGGCCTAAGGTCGTGTCAAAGGGCTTAGTCGAGACCCAGAACGTCGTGAAAGGTAAAACTCCCTGTCGACCGCATTCTCTGATCCGTCGAGATAGACCAATTATCACGGCGATCATATTACCGAAAGAAGCCAAGGCAATGAGGAAGTTGAGGCCGCGAACTGCACCGCTATTGCCGAAGACCTTCGCAAAGAACAGACTTGCAGTCGTTAGGTCAGAGTTCTCTATCTCCTCCTTGGGAACTGTGAAACAATTTGCAATTAACGTGTGATCCTATAATCGGATGGGCTATCGGTAACTAACCAGCAGCAAAGAATGCGATGTTTGCGAACATGTATAACGCATAAACTGTCGTAAGAGCAGTGGTGGCGTAGATTTTGAGTGATCTGACGGGATTCTATCAATAGGAATGTCAGTCACAACCCCGTGCCACATGAATCTCGATTCACCATACCTTGACCTCGTTGGCAACATTGAAGGCGTTATTATAACCCCCATAGGAGAAAATGATACGGTACAGTGCGGTAGTAAATCCGTACGCGGAAGCTGTAGAGCTACCTGACCACGCGTCTTGGAAATTGGCCTTGGGGTTCTCGACCTTGGTATTGCCCCCTAAAACAACAAAGCCAGTGACTATAACGAAAAGAAGGGTGCAAATCTTCACAATCCCAACAGCATTTGAGAACCAATATGCGTATTTCGTGTTGAACACCAGCGCTGCAGGAAGTCAGCGTCCCAAGTTCAAACGAAATTATGCATTGAGAGAAACTTACTCAACGTAGCGAGACTGTAGCAGGCTAGAGCAGTGCCTTTTATTTGCCAGTCAGTGCCCGTGTGCCCAGAGATGGCGATAAGATACTTGGCCATGACTGTTATGCTTTGTTAATTAATGCCTTGCGATGGGATCACCCACTCACCTGTAGCATTGGCACTTCCGAACGAAAGAATGACGCTCTGGACCGCAAAGGTCGTCGGAAAGAGCCACTTTGGATTAGGGTAGGCTTGTTCGAGGAAAACGACTTCTGACCCCGACCGACTAGGGAAGTATGCCGTAAACTCAAGGTACACAGCTCCAGACGTGAGACATATCTAGGATGGAGCAAGCATGATTAGTCGATGGTGGTTTCCGATCATGGGCGAGACATACCAAGTAACCGAGGGTCCAATAGATGAGACTGACGCCGACCGAGCCAGTACCGGACAGGATAGATGATGCTTGGTCATTTTAGCTGGCATTTCTGGATATCCATGGGCTGTGTCGCACTCACGTGTAGAGTAGATACCAGCGCCGATCATCATTGTGATGTTCAGCAAGGTAATTGTGACGGGGCCGACAGAGTATCCCAACGGCGAGTTGTTCTCAACTGGAGCGCCAGATGCGTCTTGGTATGTCGTTGCCGCAGAATTGCCCCCTGTCTCGCCGATATACTTCCCGCCAGCAGTTGAGACCTGCTGTGTCTGCCGGTCGTACACAGTGCCGACCGCAGCAGGACGGTCTTTGAAAGAACGCCGCCAAGTCATTGCGGGCAATTGTCAAAACTCTCAAAATCAATTTGGTCTGACAAGGTTCTTCGCTAGGTTAAAAAGTGCAAGCTGACGAGTGTCAAGGCTCCCGTCCTTTGATATGATGGTCTGCATGCCGTAGACAGAATATAGAACAGCGCCGCGTCCGCCATCTATATATCACAGCGCTGAACCATTGTCTTTCCGTATGTTATTTCCGGATCCCTTGTCCAATACGATGCTCAGATTTCAATTGGCGTGCGGGCAACATCTCGTTTATAGAGCATAATAATTTCGACATTGGAGGCGCGAATGTCACAACCAAAGCTGTGGGCCTAGCGGGAGACCGTCCATATGAAATTCGGCCCCGAGGTAAATCGCGTCATTGTCAGCGGAAACCCAAAGAGAATTCGCCATCTGGTGTCCAGGTCTGTATGTAATATCCGTGTCAAAAGCACCTAGCCTGTAACTCATATGTACTACAGGTGGAGAAAGTATCGCGCAATAATTGAGTCTCCATTATCTCCATCGGTATGGAGATATTCATATCCTGAATCCGGTGGTGCATCGCACAATAATTATATCAATTAAAGATGCATGTCGGTATATCTGTCGAGGTTTGCCGGGCTAAAATTTGCATCGCACGACAAATACTCATGGGGAGACCATTCTTTCCAGCGAGAGTAAACCTGGCACGTAATATCCAGCTAAATGGCGAGAAGGAACTCCGCCGGAGCTGGTGGCACATGTAGATGCGCCAAGGTGGATTGGCTACAACCATGCCATTTCGAACAATGATGGTGTGTCATTGGAGATTGCGGGCGCTTGTTCCGCTATCTGTTGTGCCATTTGTTGTTGGATGAGTCTGAGCCATGTCTTTAAGAGATTGCTAGACTTTGAGGTGTTTCGCTCTGACAGCCAGGTGTGGAGTTGAACAAGGTATCTCGAAAGGAGGATTCTGAAGATACCAATCGAAGGGTCCCCGTGAATCTGGGGGATCTAAGAGGCCGATATAGGCCACGGCCCTTTGAATTTGACGAGTATAACAACATAAAGATCGGTGGATGACGGGAACCGGCCCGGATGATTCAGCTGCCCCACACGGCCCATTTAGAGTTTTGAGCCTGAGGCAGTGTGATGCCTGAGGCAATAACATTAAATTTACGTTACCTTGCTCATTCTTGTCTCCTTGCTTCACATCCCCCTTTGTCGAACCGTTGCTATTGGAATAAGAGGATCGTGACTTAACCGGATAATTGTGGGCTCGTGTGCGATTCGGAGTCTCTGCAATGATAATTATGATGGTCTCAACCCCATTCCTAGAGCCAAGAACGAGAGAGATACGTTTTCTATCCAAATTATGGCGTGATGAAATTTCTGAGTACCCCGAAACGATAGCAAATAACTCAAAGCCCATCCATTTTCCTTTCTAAGTTCTTACTCATTCAGAGAGTTGAGTCGACGGTGCACGCCTTTTTCATTGCTCGCAAGAAACAAGTTGCTCGCACGTATGGATTTGGCCTTGAAGGCTGAGCCTACGGCCACGGAGAGTCTATCACCTAAGAATGAGAGAGCCATTGACACCAAATATGCAGATGAAACTCTGCGCATTCTCCAGCTTCATGGAGACTCGGCTGGTTCATTAACGGCCGAGAAGGAGAAGAAGCTGAGACGTAAACTGTACTGGCGAATTTTCGGGCTACTCTCCGCTATCAACCTACTGCTCTTTGTGAGTTCGTTGTCAAAACCTTTTGTTTCCGACCTCTAACTTCTCTAGATAGACAAATCCACTCTGGGTTACGCTGCTATTCTCGGCTTGTTCGAAGAGACTGGCATCACCAAGGCTCAATACAATAATCTTGGAACTTTCTTCTACGTCGGTACGTGACACTACTGTTGCTCCAATTTTACCTTCGCTGACACTCTCATAGGCTACATTGTCGCACAATGGCCGGGACATTATGCCATGCAAAAACTGCCATTTGGAAAATTTGTCGCCGCTCTTGTCTTCATGTGGGGTGTCATTCTATTACTCCATTGCGTTGCCACGACGTATACCGCTCTTATAGTTCTGCGACTGGCACTCGGTGCCGCTGAATCCGTTGTTGTACCTGCAATGGAAGTCACAATCGGGATGTTCTTTAATCGGTACGAACAGTCCTTTCTCCAACCCTTCCTTTGGGTGACGTCGGCAGCCGCCCCTATATGTGCCGCATTTATCTCCTACGGCTTGCTTTGGAGTCATAGCGCTGTCCTGCCCTGGAAGCTGTTCATGATTATTACCGGAGGTGTCTCGGTACTTCTTTCTGTTCTTGTTTGGTTTCAGTATCCGAACAACCCAGCTGAGGCTACGTTCCTGTCTCTGGAAGAGAGGATCCACACCATCAGACGAGTGCACGAGTCAAGTCAAAGCTCTATTGAACAAAAGCAGTTCAAGAAGAGCCAGTTTAAAGAGACGCTCCGCGATCCAATCTCGTGGCTATTTACTCTGCAGTCCTTCACCTTAATGATGTCTAATAATCTCACCTACGGACAGCAGAACCTCATTACTAAGGCTCTTGGGGTGGACAGCTTGGGGTCGACTCTCGTGGCTGCAGCTGGTGGCGGTTTTGGTGTCCTAGTTTGTCTTGCAGGGGCCTATGCCCTACGGAGGTGGCCTTCAAATCTTGCCTTGCACGGACTCTTCTGGTGTATTCCTGCAATTGCGGGTGGGATTGGGATGGTTGCTATTGATTGGGACCAGAAGCTGGGAATGCTTGCTTGTCTGCTGTTGGCTGGCCACACCTATGGTAATACCTACATTATCGCGTTAGGTTGGACTACGTCGTCTGCAGCCGGCTATACGAAGAAGCTGACCCGAAATGTTATGTTCATGGTTGGTTATTCCATTGCAAACATTTGCTCGCCACAGATATGGGTTCCTAGGGACGCACCTCGCTATTACGGTGCATGGATCTCTATGATAGTGGTCAGCTGGGTGGGGACACCACTGATCCTTTTCATTATAAGGTTCCTGTTGAAACGCAGGAACTCTCACCGGAAGGCCTGGGCTGCATCCTTGACCAGCGAAGAGAGGAAGACTCACGAATTGGGAGTAGTTGAGGAGCTTGATGAAAATGGGAATATGATACGCAGGGAAGTTGAAATTGCCACGTTGGATTTGACTGATATGGAGAACCCTTTCTTCATCTATCCTATCTAAATAAGACGGCTACTTGAAAATTGGCGTCGTCCAACACCTGATAGAGAGACCTTCGGTCAGGAATTTACATACTAGCGAGTATCTAAAGGATGTCCAAGTGCACGCTTTCTCGGATAACATATTATTCCAAGTACACTTTCCACTGAGATTATGATCAAATATAAATTCCCCAATGAAGTACGCTAGTTGTAACACCTTATTCATATGGCATTAAAAATACAAAGGTGGTCATATCACGAGAGGGGCGTGCTTCGACTCGCGTGTTCAGATCATTGAGAAGCAATATTCACTTGGATGAAAGTCTCTTCCTCCACATTTTTAAGGTGAGGCGTAGCATTTGATGCCATGGCTCGCTGATACCTTTCCTATCAGGGGGTATGTCAGACTCGTGCGGTGCCTCGTGCGGCGACTCGAGTTGTGAGCCAAAGTCGGGCCAAGGTCATGTGACTACCACCCTGGCTTACAAGCACGCGGCACGCGAGTTAACCTAGCTTTAGAGTCAGCTATATTTCAACAATCAACGTCTTTATTTACTTTCATTACTCGCCGATAGCAATCGATAAGCATTTTTAGTATCACACATCAATTTCGAAAAAATCGAAAACTTGCATTGTTAGGTATCAAAAAATACATCGATGTAGTCCAGACACATATATATCTCAGTCGCTAATTTATTAACTTCCCCTAAACTCTATAAAGTGGCTAGATATCATATAAAAAGCATTAGGCGATAAGGAAAAGTTCATATAGACAACCGTTGTTGCAATATCATGTGGTAATTTCTCGCTTTTACTATATGTTCTGGGCTGCGCAGCCCGCGTACCGAATACGTTAACTTAAATTCGTCGAGCTGCCTTCAAATGTCTCTAACTAGGTTTGGCTGGGCTCGAACTAAGCTTGGCCAGCGCCAACCCGGCTCAATGCTACACGTAATAGAGTACTTGCCGGACAAGCAGTTAAAATGGCGACCTATTAGATACGCGGTATATTCTCCAGGGCATCAATAACCATGCAGGCGGTCCAGGAGCCAATAGAAAGTGAAACACAACGATATTGTGGTGAGGTTCGGGTTTAGGAGGAAAAGGGAACCTTGTTAAACGTAATTAGTGTGTAAGTAAGTACACACAGGGAAGAATTATCTAGATCTCCTAGACCACGCTGGCAGTTTTGACAACTGCCCCCTTCGCGACCTCATCAGATGACCTATAATCGGACACAACGTGTTAGCACATACTACTGGAAGCAAGAGTCTTTACGGTTAACTAACTCCACCTTGTCCCCAGCCTCTTCTCCAGTAAGGACGTTTCCCTTCCGGGGCCGCTTGTAGGCCTTGAACCATGGCCCTCGGAACAAATCATCCATCTCTTCCATTCCTAGTCCGGCCATCTCAGGGACCATGAAGAAAACGTAGGCTAAAGCGAGGCAGTTGAAGGAGGCGAATAGGATAAAGGCACCCCAGTGGTCGGTCGACCCCAGCAGCGAGGGCATTCCAGCATTCACGCCGTAGAAGAAAAGCCAGTGGAACATTTGAGAGAAGGCGCTACCAAAGGATCGAATCCGGTTGGGCCACAACTCACCACTAAAGATGTACGGGAGAATAAGGAGGCCTGAAATACCTGTAAGAAAAGGGCCTTCAGGTGCATGACGAGTATCAACGGGTAATCATCTTACCAACAGCATATCCGAAACCATGGAAGAAAATGGCCGCTATGGCACCCTGACTGGCGCTGGTAGAGACGGGGCCCTGCTGGCGGTATTTGATGAAGATCCCAATATACAGATCAGTGATTATCTGAATGGTGATGCCGATGAATGCAGATCTACGGCGCCCCAAGGCATCAACGAAGAAGAACGAGGCCATCAATGTGAAGAAAAATTTCGCGATGCTGTACATGCCACTCAGAAAGAGACTATGCGTCGTGCTGTTGTTAGCGCCGATGAGAGTCAGTATGGGGACAAAATAGGAGCTGATAGAGTTGGCCCCGGATAGCTGCGCAAGTGCAAATGAGATCAAGGCCTGCATAAGACGGCGTAGGTTGGACGAGACGCAAAATGTCTCGCGGATAATGCCACGAATGCCAGGAACGGCATTTTCCTCATTTAGTTCGCGGATATCTTCCTCAATCTCTCGTAGCTCCGCACTAACGCGAGGGTGATCAACTGGAAGCCCGCGAAGGCTTACCAAGGTCTCGATGGCCTTTTCGCGCTGATTAACAAGAAACAGCCAGCGGGGGGACTCGCTTATGAAAAAGCTAGCCATGATACACCCGAGGATAAAGACGCACGGCCCAAACCAGACCACCTGGTATTGCAAACGACTGCTGGCGATGGCCTGGTAGACACCGTAGACACAGAAAACGGAGACCCAGAGGGAGAGCAGCATAGCTACACTGAACCACGTGGCCAAGAGTCCACGGATCTCTGTTGGTGCAATCTCGACAATCGAGTTGGTGCCTGTCACAGTGAGAGGGCCGATTCCAAGTCCACTGACTATACGCGCGGCGTATAGAGTGCGCAGGTTCGGTGCGAAGGTAGCCAACATCTGACCAGCTATCCATACGAGCATGTAAAGGCGCAGTGACCAGAGCCGGCCAATCCTGTCATTAACGAAGAAGGAAAGCCCGGCACCCACACCGCAACCAATGTAGACGAGCGAAACGAGATTGGAGATCTTATGGGCATCCGCACCAGAGTCGATACCGAAATGCTTCTGAAACCCCGGTAGCGATGCCACAACGGATGATGATCCTTGATCCCAGGCTGAGCATAACTTCAGTCAGCGATTATTTCACGGTACGCAACCCAGATGGAGGCAAGGGGATGGGTCTGTATATTGGAAAACTTAGAAGACGCACTGATTGGGATACCAGCACAGGCATATAGGGCCGCTGAGAAAAGAAGTCGGGGGTTATATACGATCTCTTTGGGTGTAGCTCTGATTTTGCGAGCATATTTGACGATGGTGAACTCTGACAAATTCCCGTTGGAGCCCATTGCGGATGTAATATGTATGTGACGAGCTGATTGAACAATGGCAGTTCCGTAGTCGTGTACCAACATAACGGGAATGAGGGCAGAGAAGATCCTATTTTAAATGGCATCTTCCCGTCCGCCTTGTTCAGTGCGAACTCCCGATTGCCATGGAGTCGACATCCCCTATCTGTGCTTCTGTTCCCGCTCGGGAGAAGCCGAGCTTCCACAAGATAAGATTAGAACCCAACGGATTCTTCCTCTTATCTTTCACTTTTGTCAGGAATACAGTCTATAGATCTACTATGGAAGAGTAGAGGCTCTGGAAAATCTTCAGGTTGCGTGGAGAAAGAAAGGAACTATCTACACTGCCTGGGACTAAAGGAGCAAACGAGGTCACATGTCCTCTTATCTTTCACTTTCCTTAGCACAACGTGTAGAAAACCTCCTGAACTTTATTTTCGTTTTTCATTTTTCATTTCGTCATTTTTGTAAGTGTATAGGAACAACGTAATGGAGCAGGCAAGTTCCATTATTGTGGTGGGTGCTGGCATCTTCGGCCTCAGCACCGCCCTCCATCTTGCCCGCCGTGGGTACTCCGTGACCGTTTTCGACCGGCAGCCTTACGACGAATCAAGATACTCCTACTTCCAGGGTGCTGATGCTGCCTCTGCGGACATCAACAAAATCATTCGTTCGGCCTATGGCGGACAGGCGGAGTACCAAGAGCTGTCCACCGAGGCGATCACCACCTGGCACGAGTGGAATGCCGAACTCGCCAGCGGCCAAACGGTGCCTCCGGGCATGAGCAGCAGAGACCAGGTTTTCGTCCCCAATGGAAATATATCTTTGTCTTCAGATACTGAGCTTCCCACCTGGGAACTTGCCTGTATTGAGGGAATGGAGAAGGCTGGACACCACAACACCCAGTTGGCAACCACAAACCCATATCACTGCGATCTCGCCGCCGATCGCGCGTTATCATCACACATGGACCCCTTTCAGCAAAGAAGTCGTGGGAAGCAACCAGTGGGAGTGCTTGATACGACCGGGGGAATGGCTATTGCCGACAAGGCCTGTCGCTTCGCGCTGCACAAGGCCCGGGCAGTCGGTGCGAGATTTGTCTTCGGATCCAAGGCTGGCTGCCTGCAGTCCCTTTGCTACGAGGGTCGGAAGGTGACCGGTATTATCACCCGTGATGGACATATGCACAATGCATCTATGACTATCCTAGCGTGCGGTGCCGTGACTCCCGTGCTGCTACCGGAATTGGATGGACTCTGTGAAGCTACAGCAGGTAGCGTGATGTTGATCAAGATACCGACAAAGTCGCAACTATGGGAACGTCTAGGACCCGAGAATTTCCCGACCTTCACATTCAATGTCCGCGCGGGAAGCGCTGGGGGTCTGTACGGGTTCCCGCGCAATGAGGATGGCTACTTCAAGATTGGGTATCGTGGTACTAAATACACCAACCCCATACGGCATCGTGACGGAAAAGAGCGAAGCACTCCCGTGACACGTTGGTCTAAGGCGGAGCGCGACGGCATGCCGATTGGGACCCATTTGACGGATTTCCCACGGCAAGCGTTTCGGGTCATCCAGTCTTTCCTCGATGAATATCTACCTGAGTTACAGAAAGAAGGTACCCAGGCCACCACTACACGAATCTGCTGGTATACGGACACTTTTGACAACCACTTCCTTATCGATCGTGTCCCGGGCAAAGAAGGTTTGATGGTTGCCACTGGAGGTAGTGGCCACGCATTCAAGTACCTGCCTAACATCGGCAATTGGGTAGTGGATATCATGGAAAATTCGAAGATGGATCGGCCAGCGGTCCAAGCCTGGAGATGGAGAACCCTCGGCAAAGAGCAGCCAGTCAACCATCTCATGCAGGGCTCACATGGACCGCGAGCCCTTGGAAACATTGCAGTACACAAAGAGTCGGAATTGAAGCAGGCGTCGGTGACAAGACTATGAAGAGGGAGCATGTATTCATTGTGTGCCTGGGAATCGTGTTGTGTTCGTCCTATTTACTTTGCTTCCTTGAGTAGCTAGACAAATGCTTTTATGTCTTTCCCCTTCTTTGTATATCAAACACAGATAATATAGATAACATAGACCAAATTCTATCAAGTGAGTTGTTCTATAAAGCGGCTTCTTTGGCCAAAAGACAGGTCAAAATACCTACTTGATTCACACCTTGGACTTGAATACTGTTACAGGTGAATTTGCCTTTCCCTTACTGAACAGTGCCCGGATGTTCTCGAAGCACTCGCGCTCAGCCTTCTGAAACGCTGAATCGGTCAGACCCCCCAGGTGCGGCTGAATGATTACTTTATCGCTTCCCAGGAACCAAGGATTTGGCGAGGGCTCGTTCGCGAACACATCCAGGCCAGCACGAGTGATTTTGCCGCTCTCAAGAGCAGCAATCAGGGCCTTTTCATCGACAACGGGCCCGCGCGCAGTATTGATCAAAAACGCACCGTCCTTCATGGCCGCAAACTCGGCGCTACCAATCAACCCAGTTGTCTTCTCGTTCAGGGGACAGTTAAGTGAGACGACGTCACTCGTGGCAAGCAGCTCATGCAAGGTTCTGCAGTATGTGGCGCTGTACTTGGCCTCCTCAGCGGGAGGAAGGGGATTCCGGCTGTGGTATTTGATTTTCATATTGAAGCAAGCCGCCTTTTTGGCTAGGTACTAAAGAAAAGTTCCAGTCAATGGGCTTGGATGACTTTCACTTTGGAGACCAGAGAATCACATACCTTCCCAATTGCCCCCATTCCAACGATACCCAGAGTCAGTCCGGACGGATCGCGCGCAGGTACGAGACCACCGCCGGCGGGCGCTCGCCATGTGCCATTGCGAGCGCTCTTCTCCGCATTGGTCGTGTTACGCAATACGGCAAGAATGAGAAACAGGGCCATGTCAGCCGTGGCCTCGGCCACGGCGTTGACAGTGTTGCAGAACACAATGCCTTGTTCTGCCATCCAATTCACGTCGAACTCGTTGTACCCCGCACTTGCCGAGACGATGATCTTGCAGCCAGGCGCCAGGGCCTTTAGCAACTCCGCATCAAATGGCTCATACGGTGGGGTTCCCATGCGGATGATGAAGGCATCGATAGGTCCGTTGGCAGCAATATCTGCCGGTAGCATTGCTTGCGTCTCTGCACGGTTCGTTGCAGGTAGTACCGAATAGTTGTATTCAGTTTGGAACTCCGCCAGGTACTCGGCGCCAACGTACTTGGGTTCACCAAGGCAGACGACTCTGGGTTTTGCTGCTGCAGGCATGTTGTAACGGTAGATGAATGAAGTGGATGAAGTGGGATGGAGGAAATTGTGAAAATGGAACGTATATACAACCCGGAGCCTTGGAGGAATTGACAACTTTATCTCTATTTCGGGGCTTCTCCACACCTCGGCTTCTCCCGAACCTACGGATCACCACCACCACCACCCGGGCAAGTGATTAGGGGATAAAGTTGGGTCTCCGAGGGCAAGCAAAACTCGAGCACCAGAGAAAATTTGGCAGAATTTTGTTTTTGTCTCAGAGGTTAAGCCATACATTGCCATGTCCGACTCTATCCCCAGGCCACTAGGGTTTATCGCTATCGATGTCATCCTACATCGCCCTCCAGGAGACCCTTTCAATGAGTTAACTTGGCCATTTCCAATTATTCGCGAAAGGGCAGCAAACTCTTCGGAGTCGCAAGTGGTCTCAAGCTGCAGCTACGATGAAGACTTCATTGATCGTTTCGTGGATGCAGGCCAACGGCTGGCTGATCGCGGTGCAGTGGGCATCATCACTAGCTGTGGCTTCTTGGCGATGGCCCAACCGGAGTAAGTGACACGGCTAGCTGGACGAGATTCCCAAGATTAATACAGTCATCTACAGACTCGCGGAGCGCCTGCCAATTCCAGTGGCTACTTCAGCACTCATACAAGTTCCCTCGATCTTGTCTATGCTGCCCGCCGACCGCACTGTTGGCATCATCACCTTCGACGACACTCGCTTGGATAGTACTCACCTTGAGCAACTGTGTATCAAACCATCACGTTGCCATATTCGTGGAGCAACCGCTGGAGGCCCACTCCAGCGTCATATTCGGAATGGGGAAGAATACGTACATGCCAGTCTGGTGCATGAGCTGATAGGAGTTGCGGAAGGGCTCCTGAGGGATCATCCAGACATCGCAGCTTTCTGCCTTGAATGCACGCAAATGCCAGCCTTTGCAGACGATATTAGTGCTGCCGTCCGGTTACCGGTGTATGATGTCTACACCATGGGCTGCTGGTTTTATAGTTCACTCTCGCGTGGCAGGCCTAAGCGATGGGGCTTGCCCTTGAAGGACACCCCGGAGACGAGACGATGAGCAAGTGAGCTACTATATAATCTCTATTTATATGCGTGTTTTGGAATCTTGTCGATCTGGACGCTCTATCGCTTTTTGTCCCATCGTTAAGCAGAGCTTTTGCATTCGGAAAATCCTCAAACTATACGAGAATCCACTCCTCATGACGATTCATGCCTTAGTATCGAGTTAGGAAGACTGATCAATACTCGTATGCAGACATTATTTCAAGTCTAATGCTCAACTGAGTTGTTTACATTAAGAAATCGCCATTGGACTCCTTCAGAACCATCTGGTACTCTGGCATGAACTGCATGTACATCACCTCGGGACTCCCCGTCCCTCTCTTGGTATATTCAGCCTCTTTTTCTCCGACGAGCGTTTTGTGTAGGTTTCCAGGGGTGACAGCAGCTTCAACCAGTAGCTGGGTATGGCATGCTCTCTCGAGCGCTATGAAGAAAGCGGCCGCCTCTGCAACTGTACCTCCAGCCGTTAATGAACCATGATTCTGCAGCAGCAGGTTCCTGTTCTTGGGGCCCATTGCGGCCGAAATCCGGCGTCCTTCCTCGGAAGCAAACACGACACCACCGAATGAGGGGTAGACGCTCAGGTCGTTATAGAACATGCAGCTGTCCTGGTTGAGCATGTCGATGGGCAGCCCAAAAGTGCTCCACGCGCGGGCATATGGGCTATGAGCATGGCATACGGCATGCAAATCTGGCCGTGAAGCATGTATGGCGCTGTGAATCATGAATCCGGCTGCATTTACAGCCTTGTCAGCGCCACCAATGCGGTTTCCTTGATCGTCGACTTGGACCATGTCAGACACGGTCAGTACACCAAAATGCACACCGTAGGGGTTGAGCCAGAATGTGCTTGGATCGACGGGGTCTATCGAACACTCAGTGCTAATTAGAAGACCTGGTGTGTTTCCTTGTCGTTCTGCAGGCAGAACAAATTGTAATCTCTTACCTCGCATGCTGATATGTCCGCTGCCTCCATCTGCAAAGCCCAGTTTCGCGAAGACGCGAAATGCCCCTGCCATTTGCTCCAGCTGCCATCTGCGACGCTCCAGAGCTGTCTCCGGCCAAGGAATATGGTGAAGACGCTTAAGACCGCCGGCTTCATCTCCGGAGATGTTCAGCGCCTGTTTGGTATCCTCTGCCCTGACGAGACATGTTGCCTCTCGCCCCATATCGGCTGTAAGACTCATGGGATGCATGGATTGAAGTCTTCAAAGATAGAGCAGATTGTGAAGTTTGTGGAGCTACCTATCAACATGTTCCGCGCCGCATTAATTTTTGAGGTTATATTAATGCGGCAGAGCCTCGGCTTCTTCCGAGGCCCACTATGGAAACTCCCGATATCTCACATACACTTCACGATGCTCCGATGACGACTATCTTGATCGGGACTTCCCTCAGAATGCGTCGGGTGGTCGACAAGACCGCCCATGCGCATCAGGGAAGATTCCGTCCCTGGGCCATAAACAACATCTGACGGGACTACATATCTATCGTGAAGCCGAACATGAACCGCAGGCTCCCCGGGCTTGAAGAACCGACCATAGCACCCCACATTGTCCGAGTGCCTTTACCTTCATGATGGAAGTTCAATCCGCAGTTCCGTCTATTAACTCGATTCCGGTGGCAGAGCACGGATATGTCGACGCCGACATGCTCCGCACGAGCTTTTCCCTTGCCATGTCCGACATGTACAAAGCAGAGGTGCCGCTATACGATGATTTGGTCTCCATTGTGCAGGGTGTGAACGGTTCTGTATTACAAAACGTGAAAGATAATATTAAACGCATTACCCTCGAGCGCCATGGCGCCATCCGCCTGGGAAGCCCACATGAGCTTCGGACGGTTCGTCGGATCTTCAGTCTTTTGGGCATGCACCCTGTTGGTTACTACGATCTTTCGGTCGCGGGCCTTCCGATGCATGCGACTTGTTTCCGACCTCGGGATTCTCAATCTTTGTCCAAGAATCCGTTTCGGGTCTTCACTACGCTGCTGCGGCCTGAGCTCCTGCATTCTACTGAAAGCCGTGAGCTCGCGCTGAGGCTTCTTGGACGGCGAAGAATCTTCAGTCATGCTTTGACTCGTCTTATGGATACCGTGGACTCCCAACAGGGACGTTTCACATGCCAACAAGCCGACACCTTCATTGACGAGGCCCTCAAATCCTTTCGCTGGCAGCCCGTGGCAGCCGCCACCTATGATGAGTACAATACGCTGAAGGACGACCATCCCATTTTAGCCGACATTGTCTGCTTCCAGACGGCGCATATCAACCATCTGACGCCTCGGACACTCGACATAGGCCTTTCTCAGCTTGCCATGCAAGCTCATGGTATGGACGTGAAGGAAAGGATAGAGGGCCCTCCAAAACGCCAATGCCCCATTTTGCTGCGTCAAACTAGCTTCCTGGCCCTCCGGGAGTCCGTCCGTTACTGCCACTCCAGTGATCAGCCTGGTCAATTTATTGAAGGGTACCACAGAGCTCGGTTTGGCGAAATCGAAGAGCGTGGGGCAGCACTGACTCCCATCGGACGAAAGCTATTCAACGAGCTTTTTGAAGAGGCCATGGATATCAGTCGCACCACTGGACAGAAAATGGATGACGCGCTGAATCTAGCATTTGTTAGATTCCCGGATAACTGGCCCGAGCTCTACCAGCAGCGGTTGGTGTACTGCGAGTTCACGGTCACTGACAAAGCGCTCCCCGCCCACCTGGTGAGCAACAAATACCCCCAGGAAGACCTTCTTGAACAATTGGTGTCAGCTGGCGTTCTGAGCAGAGCGCCAATCACGTACGAAGATTTCCTTCCATTTTCCGCTGCGGGTATCTTTCAGTCCAATCTGGATAACCCTTCATCATCCGCGATGGGTCACAAGAAGCCTTTTCCAGACCAACAAGGGTTCGAAGAGTCGCTAGGCTGCTCTGTCCTGGATCCCGATGTCCTATATTTCACCATGCAGCGGAAGAGTATTCAGAAATGTATGCAACAGCTGGGTCTAGGTGTCTTTAATCTGTCCAAGTCCGGCGATTCATGAACTCGGTTTCTCAATCGGTTCCATAATTCAGTTCCGTATCTTCTGGTTCTTTCCCCTTTCAACCTTTACGTCCATACAATGCTAAGCCAAGGCTGCAAGAATTACATAGTCCGGTATGTACTAATTAGGTGGAGCGAATCTTGGAACGTATTTGTCAATTCCCACCATCATTGTCGCCGGGCGCCCTATTACAGATTCCTCGCGCATTTCATCATGGTCGTTCTCCTTCGTAAACTAAACCTATACTCAGCACCTTATACTCACAATATATGTTCTAATTTACTCCCACTACAACAGTATATCGCGGTACATAATCCCTTTTGCTTTTTATTTAGAAGTAAAATGAACTTTTAATTATGACGCCGAATTGGGATTTAATATCCTTATCTCCTACCTACCTACAGCAACCTTGGAACCTTGGAACCTACCTGTGAACATCCATGGATGTACATACTTATCTCACCCTTATCTCACCCTTATCTGGCTAGTCCTCCAGGGCTGCATCATCACATGCTGATTTATTGATTGATTGATTGCATTGGGCTACATGTAGCCTGCGGCGCTAGTGGTGCTTAGTACTCTATATACACTTATTTGACTGTCTCACATCCTTCTCAGTCTCTCGATCTAATCGTTTTGTCGGCGTGGCAAACTACATCATAGCTTTGACAACCTCCGTCCTTGGCGTCTAATTTCTAGGCGGTAAAGTGATGGTGGTCGAAGACTTATGGAACACCACTGTGGAAACCCCGCTCCGGTATCGCCTGCCAGTGTTCCAAGGTTTATTTCTTTTTTCTTTAGGCTTTCCTTCCCATGGTATCCTGGTCTGGCCACATGGAGAACCCCCCCGCCTTTTCAGTCTTCGTGTTGGTTAAATGGAGGTTACAACTCTTTCTCCACTCAAGACACGAAGAGAACGAAGTATCTCAAACACGTATCAAAACATGAAAGCACCATGAGTACACCAAACGATAGAGAACATTTGGCCAAGAAGCCGCGTACCGGGGAACGGACTCTACTGGCCTGCATACACTGCAAGCAACGCAAGTTGAAGGTGCTCTTCCTTGTCTACCCTGTTGCACTCCTCCTTTCTCTGTGTGGGAACCACCCTCGGCCCATCTCTCTTTTTCTTTCAAGTACTCCGTACTCCATACCTGGCATGGATGATGCAGATGTATTGAGAACTAATACCGTATTTCCATTTTAGTGTGATGCTCAGAGCCCACAATGTAAAAACTGCGTGCGAACAGATCGAGGTATGTGATACCGTTCGATATGATTTTGTTTTTGACTCACAGCAACACAGAATGCCTCGTCGAAGATCCCGCAACCGGTCTGCATAGACCGAGGGACTATATGCAAAGGCTCGAGGCCAAGGTGGAATACCTTGAGGATTTACTGCAGAAGTACCAGCATGATCTTCCTTGCGACCGTCAGGTCTCTCCAAGCACTGAATCAAGAGAAGCTTCTGCGGAAGAGAGAAGTTCACCGGCAGTGGAATCAACTTCAAATCTAGACATGCTCAGCAGCGAAGTGGCACTGCTGTGCCTCAGTGCCGCCGGTCGCGAGCCGCAGTTCTTTGGGCCCTCGTCAGCAGTTTTCTTCTCCCGCATTGCTAGTGCCAGCATTGATTTGCCCCTCCACCGATCTAGCTGGAGTACCCGGCCGCAGGTTAGAGATGATATTGAATATCCCGGCCAGAGCTCAATGACCTCGGTTGAACTTCCTTCCCCAGCCAAGGCGGCCATGCTAACCCAGGCCTATTTCAAAAGCATTCACCCACAGTATCCTTTTCTCCATCGCCCGACCTTTCTGAACATGGAACAGGAATGCCTCAATGCAAGCGGTTTGGGAGATATCACTACTGCGGACCCTGTATCGTTATTCTTTGTGCTCATGGTCGGATCCGAACTTTCCCGTTGCAAGTTACGGTGAACGATTTGCTAATAGACCCTATAGACTTATGCGATTGGGTCTTTGGCTCTAGGACAGCCGGAGGCCGAAGCAGCGCAGGTATGTCTGCCACTCAAGCAGCTATCTTTTCACCCTTCGGCAATTTTGTTTTGACCACTCACAGACCTACTTGTCACCGGCATTTGATCGCATTGGCCCTTTGCTCCGCATGGACGGGTTGCATTCGGTACAGGCCCTTCTCTGTTGCGCGGTTTACTCGCTAAGGTCCTACAATGGAGCTAGCCTTTGGTTTGTAGCCTGCAGCCATGCCCACACGTCTCAGCAACCCTTGACTGAGGCCCAAAAATAGGAAGATCTCCGGCATGGCAATTCGACAATGTGTCGAGCTCGGCTACCACCGTAGCACGGAGAAATACCGACCACGCGCCGACGCGTTGACGAAAGAGATCTCCAAACGGTGCTTTTGGGTGGCCTATGATCTAGACTGCGTCGCGTCTTTCATCTTGGGGCGACCCAAAGGAATTCCCGATAATGCTATTGATGTCGAGGTAAGATTCCCCCAATCCTGCTCTTCGACGGGAGTATTGCTAACATTGAGTCCTTCCTCGGACCCAGCTACCTGCTGATATTGACGATGAGAATATTACAGCTGACGGCTTTCTACGCCCTCCACGATCTTCGCCTACTGAACCTCGGACTTGTATGACTGGAGTGATCCACGTCATCAAATTACGGCAACTCTGGTCGAAGATCAGTGACAATCTGTATCCAAACATATTTAATTCATTGGGGCGAGACTTCCTTCATCAGACGGCCTTGGTTAAGGCACTACGTCAAGAGCTAGAAGAATGGCGTGCTGGGGTGCCTGATGAGCTCCGCACCTCTACTGCCTCGCCCCTCTCAGTTTTTGATTCCCCCAACTGGTTTCATATCGCTTACGATTACTCGATTCTTCTGTTATATCGGGCCCAAATTACATCGCCCTCGGCGATACTGAAGGACTTCCGGGACTCTGGCTCCGCAGATGCCGCCTTCCAGGTCTGTGCTGACTCTGCTCGTGATATCTGCCAACAGTACCGTCGGCTGTATCAAGTCCGGGGCCGCCGTATCCAATTTACTTGGGGCAGTCTTCATATTTTGTTTCTCGCCGGATTGACTTTCATCTACTGCCTGTGGCGATCACGGCACCTCCGTCGATCTACGCCTCAGAGTTCCGTCATTAATACCTGCATGGCCTGCAACACTCTTCTAGTGATTATTGCAGAGCGTTGGAGCCAAGCATCGTCCTATCGAGACATATTTGAATCTCTGTCGGAGCGTACGATCAATATGATGTCTGCAGACCGTCACGCTACCCGGCTGGACGATTCGGATGGCTCGTTACCCGCGCAAGTTGCCGATCTACCGGAACTTTTTGCGCCAGATGCTGGTCTCAACCCAGCTGGCTTTGGCTGGATGGCAGGTGATCAAAGAGACGCGTCGCCGATGAACCTAGATGCCTGCGGGCCGTTTCAGGAATGGATCGCGGATCTCGACTCCATACCGCCGCCCGGAGATCCGCATTGGTTGACACAAGAACTGTTGAATGAAATGGGCGATCTTCCAAATAATTTCGCAACCAACTTTGAACAGACATGATGGTGGTCCAGCCATGCAGATACTATACATGTATTTAATTCCAGTACATTCAGGATCGACTGAGCCAATCCCGTCGCGAGCCAATACCGGGACTGACTCGGGGAGAAAAGAGGGGGGAAGAAAAGAAAAGAAGGAAAGCCCTTGATGCAGAGCACAGCTTCCGATGGCCCACTGTGAATCCATCCTTTAACTCACATGTCCTTGTCAAATGACAAGCTGAACCCGAATAGAAAAAGAGCCACTTCAGCTGAACCTTATGATAATCAATCCTATTTTCAATTTTGACTTCCAACCCCTATCACTTTCATAGATGCCAAGAAACGGTTCAATCCTTCTTCTAATGCCTCTTTCCCTACGGTGAAAGTGATCCGGAACCAGCCATACTCTTCTGGTAAATATACATGACCGGGGGCAATCATGACCCGTTTTCCGGCATATCTCTGCGACCCGCAACTCACGCTGTAGGTTGACTTGGACATCCGGAGTGGTCACACTCAAGGTACTATTATCTGACTGCCGCGCAGACGATTTGGGGACCAGTAGGTGGCGTAAATTGACCCAGATAAACAGTCCAGCATTCCTTGAGGCGGGTCAGTCCATTCTAAAAGTCAGGATCAACATATTACACTTACATCTCGAAGTAGGGAATGTCATGCTTGGAGAAGAATGACGTCGCGATCTTGTACCGGTCCACCATGAGGTCCCTCTTCTGGGCCATAAACCTTTCCATCCACTGCCTATCCTCCATCATAGCAGCCCAGGCATCTTGCAGGATATGGGGTGACCAGGAAAATATACTAATGACAAGGCCCGTGAGAAAAGTGCAACGAGGGTATTACCTTGCGACTCACCCAATGCTAGACATTGCACCCATGATGCCTTCGTTTTTCGTGCAGACAAAGCCAATGCGTAGTCCGTTAGCACAGAAGTCTTTACTTGCGTAGAGCACATGCATGCGGCCTGGATCAATGACATCGCCAAGATCCAGAGCGAGGATGGACGTGAACGGAGTTAGTGTTGGGATTTTAGGATTCGGAAAGACAGAGAATGCATAGATCTCATCCGAGATCAAATGCAAGTTATTTCTACCGCAGAAAGAAGCAAACTCCCGTAGGGTTTCAGAGGCTAATGTCCTAGATTAGTTCAATATTGGCTAGGGAGGAAGGGAAGGGAACGGACAGAACACCTTCCTAACGGATTGTGCGGGCTAGATATTGGTCGTGTCAGTTAGCCCGCATTCGATGTGATCGGACATAAGCGGAAACTGACTTGGAAACAACTAGGGTGAGAACGGTGATCCCTTCATCTCTTGCCTGACGAAGAGCAGCTTCAAGAGCTAGCTTGTTCACTCCCGGTAGAAAGACGTCATCCAGACCCCAAAAACCCCTCAATTGTTTCATACTTGACAACCGACCACCTGAACGTTACTCTGGTTTTGGATGTCGACATTGAACCCATAGTGTTCGCCCTCTCGACACCAAATTATCCCAGTCCGTGATAATTAACCAAGCCCATGTAACCCCCAGACTCCACAAGCTCGACCTGGATTCCAACAACCCTCCCCAGCCAAGGCAAGTCATAACCCTCTAAGAACAATAGTCTCATATTCGCTGACTAGACTAAGGATAGGTACATCATATGCTCTCTAGAGAGCCGGTAAGTATCCAGTGCTTAAAGATGGCAAAGCCCCTCAGTGCAGAGCCGGTTCTCACCGATGAAGAATAGCATATTTGAGTAAGGCCATCGCGCTCCATTCGCCTGCTTGCTGGTCGACACTGAGTTTCGATGACAATGCGAACAGAAGGCCTTGGGTATAGGCAAGGATACAGCACGCACGGAGCTAACAAGAAATCCACTCACCCCTAATTCCACATGGTAAAAGCAGATGGGCCCTTGGCAAACCATATGCTGAGTGTTATGGCATTCCCCGGCGGTGTTTGCGCTATGCCCGCAGCCAAAAGAGGCTCAGTCAATGTCCCAGGTCCTAGATTCCGTGATAGTGAAACACTCGAAAGTTTCAAAACGCCATGCGAGATCTGCTGGCTAATATGCAAGTCGAAGTTTCGGAGGTGTCCCAGATTGGTCAGTATATTTTCCTTGTTCTAGAAATGTCGTGGGGAGCTTGGTCGCTTTGGACCATAATGGCCCGTTTGGATTTCATAGAAGGCGACTCTCCGCCCTCCTTGGATATCCCCGCGTCTTGTGCGGGTTCCGGTTCCGGTTCCGGTCAGTGGAGATAATAATCGTTGCATAAGAATGCCAAAACCGTCAAGGGAAAGGAACCACAGAAGTGAGAGGGGATGTGGTCCGCGGGTGCTTTGGTTGATGACTAGGGTGGTTCTGTTATCCAGAGGATGTCTTCTTCTTTTCTTTCACCACCCATGGTATGTCTCCCGCGGGAGACCCTGGGCCTACGGGCCCCAGACCATTTGGACTGCTTCACATCTCAGTCGCTTTGGAATCAGCTTAGGGCCCTCAATGTAAGGTCGGGATTCGGACTCGGCATGTATTAGGTGTACGGACTGCTTAAACTCTAGTAAGTGAATAGGGCTCACTTTTTCAACGAGTCTACCGAACCTGGGCTTTCACAACCGACGACATTGATTCCTATGTTTTTACCTTCTATCAGTAGTAGAATTTGCGAGATCATGAAGTTTTACAGGTCATACAAAGCAGTATTGGATTTCCTTTGGCTTACCAGGATGTGGCATGCACTTATCCTGAGGACATCATCATTGCACTATGGGATGCGCTCCAGAACGTAATACTATATCTAGATAAAGGATAAAGTAGACAGTCAAATGCCTGTTGTATCAATCTCACCATTCCATTGCTAAATTTCCTTATATAGCCCCCCAACTAGAAGTATTGCCAAATCCCACTTTGCTTTTACTTTTCGTTGCGCTCTATCAGCCCTATATCAAATACCAATTTGACACGAATTATATTTTGACTCTTTGTATGCTCTAGCGTTGGAATAGTCTTTAACTCATAATTAAACTTCAAGCCTGTCTCCCAAAGATCGACTAATAGCCCGCAAGCCGCGGGGGAACTGGCTCACTGCGTCCAAGAGCAGTTGGAACAGAGAATGGCTACCCGTGGAATCCAGTCCGCCACTTCTCATGACTCAGCTTCCCATCCTCGGCGGCAGTGTCCTCAATTCGTTTGATAATATGGATATTGGTAGAGGCTTTGGTAGACTTCACCAGTGCTCCTTCCATTTTGAAAGGGACAGTCGCACCTTCCTCGTAAAGATGCAGGTGCTCGATTCCCATCTCAGATCCCTTCCGACTTTCTTCCATTTTCACCGCCTCACTAGTCACATTGGGTGCAAACCAACAAAGGTATGACTTCAAGATTTGTAACGAGACAATGAGTTGAGACTGGTTGCTTCATAGCTTGAACATACTCGACACTTCGACCAGCATTGTTACACAACGTATCCAACAACGATGAGTGAGATAAACCCCATTCCCGACCTTGTTTTGAATATTAAGCTAACAAGTGCCAAGTGGACGAGTCTTGAGCCGTTCTAGTCTCCAACAATGCGCAGCTCGAGGAGCTGACCCACCTTTAAGACTTCGAGCCACGGAGTGGGCTGAGAAACGCAAATTGACCGAGGCGACTGAACAATATCCGCCAGCAACTGTTGCGTGAACTAGCTGCTGAAGACGCCCCCACGACCAGTTAGAACGAGAATGTGGGAGCAGATATGTTAGGCGTGTGGATACTGTCAACGCGGGCTGTGAAGCCTTTCCGTTGGTGCCGGACAATCCTCGACCCAGAACGGCTATCACTTCCCTCCAAGATCTATCTTGCTTGGCCACGAAACCATATCAACTGAGTCTCACATTGCATGATTGTAATTTCCTGCACCCACCAAAGCAGCAATGTGCCATAGCAAGTCTTTTAGGGACAAATTCCACACTGAAAGCTGGTGGGACAGACTGAATAAACTCTCAGATTCGCCCGATGTCGACACGGCCCGACTAAAAGAATTCATTAAGAAACCTCCCCGTCAGTCCAAAATCGCCACGTTTGCGGCAGCCGACACACCGACGGATATTAATGAATTTTTTGGTCTCACTGAAGTCTAAGGTCCTGAATCATGGCAATGTCCCGGCCCGCTGATTGTCCTTGGCCAGATTTTGGTACTTGAAATATCATCCGTTATACTTTATAATATTAATGAGCATCTGTAGAAGCCTAGCTAGACGCTTTTAAGGAGTTCGCCGGCCCCCTATCAAAGCCTACCGAAGCTCGTACGAGGTGCAAAATAGATGCCCTAATCCTCACAGTCTACAAAGACCTAAAGGCTCATGGTTTCCTGGATGACGGTGCAAATGTTACTCTACAATTCGAGACTGCATTGGAACGGGGACCGGTGACCTACCAGAACAAACAACACAAGTGTGAAATCTACTCAGTGAGCCTGACTCTGAGCGCCCTCACAAAAGCGGCGGCAGCTAAGATAGGAAAGCCCCACCTAGCAGAGGAAATCAAGTACATAGACCTACCGAGGCACCGTGGACAGAACACCTATTATTAATACGCGCCGATACCCTTGGAAGGTACGGAGTACATTGTACATATGTAGGCACCTCAAAGGCTGGATCTGTCCGCAGTACCTGCATATAGGCTGGAATTGACTTTCTTGTATTTTAATATTGTCTCGGCTATCCTAGATCATGGAGCCCTGGGTGCGGGTGCGGCTCATGGAAAACGTATGTTGTAAAGTGCATACTTACAAGATTGGCTAGTGCTTCGATTAAAGGGGAGCAATCAGGCAGCATGATGAGTGGCTTCATTGTCGCCTAAATACCTCCTTAGAGTGGGTATATCTCCGAAGTAAATTTGTACCTTGCATAAACCGGAAAATGAAAGGAAATTATAGCATGGGAGTTTTGGGGGCCAAAGGCTAGAACGTGTACAAAGTACGGAATACTCCGTCCTCCGTACCCTACACGGAGTTACATCTCGACTTTGAGTTCGTTAGGGCAACGAATTAGGAGGAACTAAAGATGAACTAAAAGATGAACTAAAGGCGATCAAGTGGAACTCAGGTGAGACACCAATCTTAAAGTGCCATAAGTCCCGTAAGTGCTGTAACTGCTGTAACCGAATAAAATGGTGATCCGGCTTCTTTCCGGATCGGCGCCTATGATTGGCGTACCTGGAAAGGTCCCGCCCCATACCTGTCCTTTAAGGGTTTAGCGCAGGCTTATGGACTCTTAGCTCCGTTCTCATTTGATTTGTAAATTTCCAAGGTCCTTCGACCTCAGACCATATCACTTAGACATATGGTTCTACACCACTTGCACATTCTTGCTCTTCTAGTAGTTTGTACAAACACTTATCAAACGAGTTTTCTCAACTTCCACTTTCCTACCATCCTACGTTTATATGTTGTCCGATTCTCGGATCTAGTGCTCTTCCGACAACACAATGGCCGGTGGACCCCGAGGCGTCCGTGCCCTGGTGCTTACATCACGAGTTGTGATTGGGTTTTATATATGAAGCTAACTGGCTTTGCTCCAGTTATGACCCTGACACTAATGCCGCTAGAGTCCGTTAGGGTCTTTTAGCCTCTTCCATGCGGCTCTTGCAATTTTGCTGCGCCGAGATAGGCCGGAATAGGCACGGGGCCACCACATACCCCTCTCCAAAGAAAGCCTGGCATGGCTGATGGCTGATCCATTTTTTGGCTCAGATGTGACTCTTTTACGCCACTGGCTGTATGGTCATCTTAAACAAGGCGCTTGGCCTCTGACCATTCTACAGTGGAAAAGCCGGTCCATGTCGCTGTCATATTGGATTTCCATGAAGTTCGCGTCATCTGTTGTGTGAACAGATCCTGATTCTCCGAGTCTAGCGTTCAGACTATCAAGCGTTGAATTCACCCTGCGACTCTTGTTTGGGTCGCCCTGCACCGGTGGAGTGCAGTCGGAGTGGCACTGACCTACGAATCGTGGAGCCATCCGGATATCACGCACTGGTTCATTTCCACGGCTTGATGGCTCTGTTCTCCTTTCTGATTAGTGCGCTCTATGTCGGAGGTCGGAATTTCCCCCAGGGGCGGAGGGGGACAGTCCCCAGCTGGCGCTCGATGTATTTCAGTCTCTTTCCCCCCAGGGAGTTGCATTTCCTTTCAACCATCAACACTCTCACTTTGAGCTCTTTGGGAGATTTCCCAAGCAGATACTTCTCTGCGTCCTCTCGTTGTTCGCGAGCTAACCTGTCATTCCTTTTATCGGGTTAATAAGCGATTTCTGTTGCATCTAATTATTGCATTTAATTACTACATTCATTTTAGCCATGATGTTCAAGTCTTTTGCCGCCGTATCGGCCCTGTCACTCTTTGCATCGTCTGCTGTGGCTCTTGATCCCAGTCTGAAGAATAATGTTGCTGTCTACTATGGACAAGGTTACAACCAACCCCGGCTCAAGCATTTCTGTGAACAGACCACGTCGGACATCATCAACATCGGATTTATCAACGAGTTCCCCAAACATGTGGGCGACTTCCCTGGTTCCAACTTTGCCAATCAGTGTGACGGAGCCTTTTTCCCCGGTACGGAGCTGCTGAGTGGCTGCCACCAGATCTGGCAAGATATCCCTAGTTGCAAGGCTGCTGGCAAGACAATCCTGCTGTCCATCGGTGGTGGTAGTGCCACAGCCCAGTCTATCCCGGATGAGGCCACCGCAGTCTGGTTTGCGGATTTCCTGTGGTACTCGTTCGGTCCTTACAATCCAGCGATCTCTTCGCTGGGTTGGACCGAGGAGCTCGCTGGCCTGGCCTTCCCTCGCCCATTCCTCACTTCCTCGGTCGATGGATTTGACTTTGATATTGAGTACAACGGCGGAGTTGGTTTGTTTCCCTGATCGTCTGACGTCCCGACTATACTCTTTCTAACACTCCAATCTAGGATACGCCGCCATGATCAATCGTCTGCGCTGGCATTTCACCAAGAGCCCCGAACAATCCTACTACATCTCCGGTGCTCCCCAGTGCCCTATTCCCGATGCCCAGCTCGGTGATGCTATTGCCAACTCGTACTTTGATTTCATCTGGGTTCAGTGGTACAACACCGGGGGTTGCTCTGCTGCGGACTGGGTTCACGGCACTGGCAAGTTCAACTTCGATGACTGGGTCGGTGTCATTGAGAAGAGCGCCAATCCCAATGCTAAGCTCTTCATCGGTCTTCCCGCATCCAAGGATGCCGCTAATGCTGGATTCTACTTGACCCCTAAGGAGGTGAAGCCCCTTGTCAAAACTTATATGGAGAAGCACCCCAAGCACTTTGGTGGTGTGATGCTCTGGGAGGCCACCGCCGGTGACAACAATCTCATTGACGGATCAACATACACTGAGCACATTAAGGACATCCTGTACGATTGCGCTCCTCCTCCCCCTCCCCCGTCTTCGAGTGCCACCCCGACCCCTTCTTCGACTGTGACTCCTGTTACCTCTTCCACTGTCCCCCCGTCTAGCTCGGCTACACCTTCGGTCACCTCGGTTTCTTCTAGCTCCGTGGCCTCTTCCAGTTCCGTGGCCTCCTCCAGCTCCGTGGCCTCCTCCAGTTCCGTGGCCTCCTCCAGCTCCGTGGCCTCCTCCAGCTCCGTGGCCTCCTCCAGCTCCGTGGCCTCTTCCAGTTCCGTGGCCTCCTCCAGCTCCGTGGCCTCCTCCAGCTCCGTGGCCTCCTCCAGCTCCGTGGCCTCTTCCAGTTCCGTGGCCTCTTCCAGCTCCGTGGCCTCTCCCAGTTCCGTGGCCTCTTCCAGTTCCGTGGCCTCCTCCAGCTCCGTGGCCTCTCCCAGTTCCGTGGCCTCTTCCAGCTCCGTGGCCTCTTCCAGTCCCCCTGCCACCTCTAATCAGTCTTCCACTTCGAGCGTCCCTAACAGCTCTGTGACCCCTGGCGCTTCATCTTCTGGAAATCCCGCCCCCCACACCTCCGCCACTGGAAAGCACACCCACAGCTCGCATCCTGGGCATGGCCATGGACATGGCTCCCACACACACACCCATACCCATACCCACACTGTTCCAAGCTCTACTCCCCTGATCTCCGACCACCCTTCCAGCACCGCTCCCGTCTCTTCCGCGACCGAGTCTGGCGCCTCCTCCACTAGCGAAGGTGTCATCCCGACCGGTGTCCCGTCTACTAGCGACGAGAGTACTGGGGTTTCCAAGCCAACCGGCGACAAGACTACTGGGGTTTCCAAGCCCACCGGCGACCAGACTACTGAGGACTCCAAGCCCACCGGCGACCAGACTACTGGGGGCTCCAAGCCTACCGGCGGCAAGACTACTGAGGACTCCAAGCCTACTGGTGACAAGACTACCGGAGGCTCTAAGCCTACTGGCGACGAGACGACTGGAGGCCCCACGCCCACTGTCAGTGATTCCACCACAGCTCCGGCTGGTATCACCGCCACTCCCTCCGTCACTGCCTCGCCTTCCTCTTTGGCTCCTGGTACTACCACAACGATCATTGTGACCTCCTACATTGATATCTGCCCAACTGGCTTCACCACCATCACCACCACTATTACCAAGACCTACTGCCCTGGTGACTCCTCTGCTACTGCCACCCCAACTGGCACCGCCGAGATCACTGCTCCTACTTCTGGCCCTGCCACTTCCACAGCCTCCATTCCTGAGGGCTGGACTACTACTGTGACTGTCTGCACTCAGTGCGCCGCTACGCCGACTACCGTGACCCTAACAAAGCCCGCTGCCACTACTACCACTGAGGTTGTGTCGCAGCCCACCGCCCCTTCGGTGCCCGAGGGATTCACCACCACCGTTACTTTCTGCAACCACTGCGGTCCTACCGGTAGTAGCATCACCCTGACCATCCCGGTTCCCAGTGCTACTGCCGTTATCCCCGGTGCTGGCTCTGGCTCTGGCGCTTCTGGAAATGATGAGGGCTCCGGATCCAACCCTGGCTCTGGGTCTGGCTCTACTGGTGAAATCCCAGTGCCCGGCCTCGGCCCCCTGGTGCCATCTCCTTCCTCCAAGCCCGTTCCTAGCAATGGAGCCGGAGAATTCCACGCCGGCAGACCGTCGTCGAGCATAGTCTTCCACCCCTCGCCCTCGCGCACTGCTGTACCCACCGTCGCGACCACCGCGACGGTCACATCTGCAGCGCCCAGCAGCAACCCAGAGGGCGTCTCCCCGGTCTACACCGGTGCGGCCTCGCGTTCCAACGTGACCAGCTTCCTCGGTGGCGTCCTCGCCGTCGCTCTTTCCATGTTCATGATGCTGTGAAGCTGCCCGCTTGTCTGGACAACATGATCTCATCATCTATGCGATATGATTGATCTCACGACGCTGACTTCAAGAAGAACTGGTAATTGCTGGCGACAGGTTGCTATTTCTTTTCATTACGATATTGTGTTTATTATATTCTCTTTCATCCGATCTCCGGTCTCTGGAGTGATTCTATACCTCTTGGCCTCTTTTTGTGATTTACTCTGGCCAGTAGTGGCGAGGCCATCGCGTCTTCGAATTGAAGTTTTGCGAGCGGTCGCGTCCGTTTGTTCTCAATCTCTAATGATATCCATTCCAAGGTGTCGCCGACGAGTCTGACTCATTTTCATTTATTTCTACTTGCTATTTTTCCTATTTACAATAGACAGAGATGCTCTTTGTACAAAAATACCATAGTACCTTATACAGTATTTATCTATAGCCCTATGATGTCATTGCCTATTTGAGCTTCGACCATCCCTCGCGAATGATAGATCCATGCATTGTACATGTTATCAGTTATTTTGTTATTTTGATATAAAATCACATCACATCTTTCTAGCAGGATAATAGTTCACTACGAAATGTGTGATGACCTTTTACTACCTAGGTATATTTGTGCACGATTCCCCCGCATACTGTGATATCGACGGACCTCGGCTGTGGAGAACTATTAAATGGCAACCTCACTTGAACTCGAACTTCAACGTCAAATCCAATGTACAAAATGTCACCATTGAAGGGGATCAAAGTCATTGAGCTAGCAGGCCTAGCCCCAGGTACGCTCTCAATGCAAGAAACATCATCATCACACTAACAACCACAGGCCCATTCGCAGGCCTCCTGCTAGCCGATTACGGTGCTTCAGTCCTCCGCATAGACCGACCCAAATCCATAAGCGGCGACCAACTAACCCGCAATAAAACCTCCATAACCCTCGACCTACGCGACCGAAGCTCCCTAAACATCCTCCTCCGCCTCCTCACAACAGCCGACATCCTAATCGACCCCTTCCGCCCAGGCGTCCTCGAACGCCTCGGCCTCTCCCCAACAGAAGTCCTCCTAAAGCACAACCCCCGCCTGATCGTGTCGCGCATGACCGGCTTCCGCCGCGACGGAAAATACAAAGACATGGCCGGCCACGACATAAACTACATCGCCGTTTCAGGCGTGCTATCCATGCTCGGCCGCGCAGCAGAAAGACCCCACGCTCCGGGCAACATCCTCGGCGACTTCGCCGGCGGCGGCGCAGTCTGTTTCCAGGGAATCCTGCTCGCGCTCATCTCCCGCTCCCATACCGGCCGCGGCCAGGTCGTTGAGGCAAATATGGTCGACGGCTCGGCGTACCTTGCTACGTTCCCCCGGTTGGGGAGGAATACCCCCGCGTGGTCGGAGCCGCGTGGTGAGAATCTGCTTGATGGTGGGTGTCCGTACTACGATACGTACGAGACTAAGGATGCCGGGCGGTATTTCGCTGTCGGGGCGTTGGAGCCGCAGTTTTATGCGGCGTTGGTGCGCGGGCTGGGGTTTGATATCGGGGAGCTTCCGAAAAGGGAGGATCGGGCGCAGTGGCCGGCGTTGAGGGAGATCTTTGCGAAGAGGTTTAAGGAGAAGACGCGCGTGGAGTGGGAGGCAGTTTTTGACGGTACGGATGCTTGTGCTACGCCTGTTTTGGAGCAGGCGGAGCTTGAGGACGATGGGTATGAACAGCGGCCAATGGTGCATCTTGTTAGTACGCCTGCGGCGCCGATTCCGGCAGATCAGGGTGGGTGGTCGGGTGGCGGGCTTTTGCCCGGGGATGGGGGTGTTGATGCGCTTAGGGAGTGGGTGGGATGGGAGCAGGGTAAGGATTTTGAAGTAAGGAAGGATGGAGCTTTCGTGATGGTGGATGGGAAGTCGAAGATATGAGGCAGTGTGTCCTCGACACGGCAATACATGGAATGCCTTTATATTCTGCCTGTACTAGCTTATCATTACAAGACTTTCGGGTGCCTTTCTCGAGGAGATTCCCAACACATTGCAGACCTTGAACATCATAAATTCCAAGGCTGGTTCCAACCAGCATGGAAAATTATTGCTATACACCGAATACAAACGCCAACCTAGATATACAGGCCGAAGCCAACAACAGCATGTACAGAAACAAGGACAAGAGAAATCCAAACGAGCGACAAAGCAGCGCCGCCATTTCCAGCGGGACTACCATTGCTCTTCGCAGTGCCACTCTTCTTCGCGGTAGCCGCGCTGCTAGAAGCTGTTGAACTCGACCCGCTAAAAGCCGGCTCGGGCTCGGATGGCAAGTTGTAGTATTGGCGAATGATATCGCTCGCTTGCTCGGCCACGCCGTACGTCGAGGACATCAAGTGCGTGGATAAGGATATGGGGATAATGCTGGCATCAGCAACGCGCACATTTGCAAGGCCGTATACGCGTAGATTGGCGTCGACCACGCCGCCCTGCTCCTCGGGCAGCATTGCGCACGATGAGGACGGGTGGAACTCTGTGCTGGCCTCCTTCCGTAGCCATGCTACCCAATCGTCATCGCTCTGGACGATCGAGCCCGGGGACGTTTCGTTTGTGAGGCTTTTGCTCATTGGGCTGGTTTCGCCTACCTGGCGGGCGAGTTTGATACCTGCAAGGAGGATTTCGGAGTCTGCGTTATTGTCAGTATTGGAAAGCTTCTGTCGGATATTGCTTGGAGAGGTATATACCAGCTGGGTTGTCGAAGTAGTTCGGGTCGATGACAGGAAAGTCCATTGGGTTCGAGGAGTTGATGTAGATACGGCCGTGGCTGAGTGGGTGTTGGAGGGCAGCAGTGATGCCGATATCGCCATTGGCATCGCTGTTCATGAACAGGATCTCGATTTGACCTGTCGGGCTATTGAAGATCTTCGACGCTGTCGTGTTGCAGATTGCTTTGTAGCCGGCGACGACGCCATCATCGTACGTCGTTTTCGGTACATATTGATCGATTGAGGCGAGGAATTTCGACTTGTACTCATCGACTTCACTGCCATAGATAGTTTTGGCATCCACGTAGGCAACAGCGGAATCGATGTATGTTAGGAATTTGGGATTATTCTGCCGGAATTAGCATACGGCTTTGTTTGATCGGGAATACACAGGACGCACCTTATCTTTATCGCCATCGTAAAAGATGGAACCTGCGGTGTCCACATTCGTGCTCCATTTTACTGTGGCACTCTGTGCGACCAGGTCAGTTACATGCTCATCTTATGGATAGGAAGCGCACTCACCAAATGGTCTTGGAGATGTTGACCGACCCCAGGAAGTTCAGATACAAGGCCAACACCGGCTTCAGAGAGGACATCCTTGGGGCCGACACCACTGTAAAGCAATACAGCCGGGCTGCCGATAGTGCCACCGGCTAGGATGACTTCCTTCTTAACCTTAACTGTCATTTTCGTTGACCCGCTATCAGTTGTGTATTCGACAGCACTCGCTGTTTTCTTGTCTGAAGATGTAGCATTATCGAAAACAAGCCGAGTCACATGCGCATTCGCCAATACATCGTAGTTGCCGCGGTCTGGGAGCGGATCGAGATAACCAGAACGACTGTAGGACCGCGTCCAATTTGAAGGGTTGATGCAGGAGGTTGAGACATCAGCGCCCAAGTTTTCACCTCCATACATGTTCGCAGAAGTGTCAATGCCCATACTCTGCAATGACGTTAACCAGTCACCCACTTCGGGGAATGTGCTAGGAATGCGTTAGCCTTATCAGTGAATTCCAGAGAACATGATTCAGCATACTAGTCCGGGTATGTTGTGTGGATCGGCCCGTCCGTGCCATGATGTGATGCATTCCAGACGATTCCAGCCTCGTCAACCACATCATCAGTCGGAGGAGTGAAAGTCTCGCTTTTCTTCAGAGCAGCATAGAACGAGTCCCACGACCAGTTATCGGCGCCGTCCATATCTCCAAGCATCTCTTTCCACGCATTTACTTCATCTTCACCCGGACGGGTCATATACAACCCATTGATAGCGGAACTGCCTATATATCTGTTAATTTTCTGTTGCTTGTTCTTTAGGATATGACACTTGTGCAAACCTCCAAGGACCTTTCCACGAGGCCAATTAATCTCCCGATCGTCTGCATTGGGCTGAGCAACGGTATAAAAGTCCCAATTCAAAGGCGTTGTCCATAATGAATCGAAATAAGAATATGCCGGTGTATCTGTACAAGCGTTAGAAATGTCGCAAACTCCACAGGATCGAATAATTGAACGCACCTATGCGCTTGCGATACTCGTCTCCATTCCCGCCGGACTCAAGAACCAACACAGTATGATTCTTATCCTCCGAAAGACGACCGCCCAACACGAGTCCGGCTTGACCTCCTCCCACAATCACAAAGTCATAAGAATCGTCGATTTCCGTGCACGGTGATAATGCGCTCGCGAGGTGGCTTGCGATTAAGCTTGCGCCTACGATGTGGGTAGCGGACAGACCAGGTCGCATTGTAAGAGTGTGCGACGCAGATGGTCGAGAGTTGGTGGAAGGGTGGATCTCATATATAAAAAGCCCATCAGTGTGAATATGCCTAAGGCTGTGGAGCTCAAAATCTTTGAAAACCTTGCTATGAACTTTCGGGAATCTCAATTCTCAAGTTTACGCACGATGATCCCCCGATAAGCACAGTCTTAAGCCTCGATCGCGTTAGACAAGTGGGTCAAAATTGGGCTTCTACAAATGAGATCTTGGTTCCGCTGGCGCCACATGGCTTTTTCCAATAAATCAACTTCGTTTCTTTGGAACTGGTCTTTCTACCCGCCCTCGTTCCATGTTTCTTATCGCGTGTTCCTGGATTATTTAAGACAAATCAGATTTTTCTTGGAATTCCACAATGCACTGTTTCCATTCTATATGTATTCCTTATTCTGAACCCAATATATTAAAAAGAAAACCAATGGTTCTGTTAGCACAGACAACACATCAATTTTGTGATGCCATGGCTGATGACAGCATGGGTTGCTATGCATCAACAGAGGATTAAGGGCCAATAATGGACTAGGATTATCTCCACTAGCAATTTGCCTCTCATGGGCGGGTCTCCCAATACCTTCTAATAGGCTGTTAGTTCGATGATCGCAATTATAATGCAGCCAGTAGCCAGCCACGATAAAGGTATGTATCCAAAAGTCTAGAACAAATCCCTGGAACAGTGTCTGGATTTCCATGGACGGGACGTGAAACATTAATATTGCGAAACAGATCGGATCGATTCTGATCGCAAATTGCATGTTACGTATCCATCGACTGCGATCATAATACTTATTTATTTAGAATGATATCAGATAACTAGTGGAGGTGTTAGGGTTAAGCTTGTCAGCTGCACCTAGGCAATCTATTTACTTTCCACTAAATACGATTAGACGAAGGCTCGCCCTCTGATTAGCCACCTCGGCAAAATTGTACAATTTTACGAGGAGCTTATTTGGTTCAATCCATTTTGAGGAGACTATCGATTTCTACTAGGGATTGTGGTAAAACTATCGAAGTCATAAATCGGTCATACGCAATTCAATATCCTCAATCTCAATCCAGTGTTGTATTTTATAAAGCCACCTCAATAATACTAATGAATACAACGGATAGAGCCAAAATACCCTATATAGACGGAAGGCCATTCTCAGAGAGCAGCAGAAAACATCTGCGCGTCCAGGGAGGCCGCGATGTTGAGACATGGGATTCGCGCGGCCTTCGAGGACCTAGGGGAGACACTTGATCGCAACGGAGACGCCGCAGTCTCGTGCCCTTGTACTATCATATATGCAATAACATTCGCGATGACTCCCCAGCCATCGCGGTGTACTTGGTACGCGACAGCAGACCATTGCCCTTCATTGTTCAGCCGAAAGAAGTAAAACCATTGCCCATCTGTCAGGGCACCCCACACAGTGCTATTAGACTGTCCACGAGCCCTTCGGCAAGCCTGCACCATTGCCATATAGGCCAGAATTTGCCCGTGGGTGCTTGTGGAGGCTCCATGGTCCTGCTTGGCCTCTAATATGACCAAGTGGCAAGCTATGTGTTTCGGCTCACCAAAAAGCACACAGTAGTCCGCTTTTCCAACAAGGTTCTGTTGCTTGTTGTGGTAGGTAACCGGTCTACATTCAAGTGAGGTCTCAAATTGGAGACTAATATTCGGACCATTTTCCAGATACCCATGAGCCTTCAGATTCTCCCAGATCGTGAAAAGCAGGCCATCTATTTTGCAACGCGACCGAGCTTCGGTACGTTCTGAGGGGCTAGTTCGCTCCTTAAACGTGCTAAGCCAGGTTTCTATATAGATATTTGTTAGTTTTATAAGCCCGTTACGGTAACAGATGATGGACGTTTTGGGTACCGAAATCTGGCCGGATGAGGATGAGCGGACGCGGAAATTGCCATGCCTCAGGGCCGCGGGCTTGGGTAAGACCAAAACACTCGTTCACATCGGTCGGGGTCATATCCTCTGCCGCGAGCTTGGGGAGTTCAGACTTGAGGGGAGGGTCATCAATGAATTGTTTCAGTTCGGTCGTACTGACACCATCCGCTTTTGATAGCTCATGGAGTCGGTCCCACCAGCTTCTCCAGGCCTTTGAACTGTTGGCTAGCGCAGGCATTTCAAAATAAAGCAAAAGATGAGATCTCTTGATGTGCGAAAATGAAAGCTTGTTGGTCCAACAAGAAGAGAAGTCGAAGATGTCTTCATTAGTACGGAGGGAAAGCATTGGCCGAAGCCCAAATAGGAAATATAACATTATGTATAGATAAGCATGAGGTCACGTAGTATTCCTCAGGGGAAACTGGAATATTCTGCTTATATGTCCTCATCATGTCTTTTGAAGTTCTTATCGCTCGTTTGGTAGTCTTTTTGGTAGCCTTTTGGGTAGTCTTTTAGGTGGTCTTTTTCGGTGGTCCTTTTTGGCGGTCTTCTCGTGATTTCTTTTACATGTTTTGCCCCCTCACATTAGTATGATAGCTAGAAGGATAAGGAGACCTGGCGGTATAGAATATAGGCCGTGAAAAAGGTGTGATAATAGTGGAACAGCAGAAGTTCAATTTGAAGATGCGATGGTATCAACGCTACAGAGGCCTAGAGGTATGGAATTATCACTGCAGGGACTGGAAACTGGAGAAAAAAAATAAAAAAATAAAAATAAACGCACTATAATGAAGAAACGTAAACCTGCTAGCAAATATCCTCCTTCATGCAGGCATGGTGCCAGGGGTCGCTGCAAATGCCTCTTCCAATATTTCCAAGCCACTAAGCAGCTGGTCCTTGGTAATAGTGATTGGCGGAGCGATGCGAAATGCACCCCCAAAGCTTGGATGGCTACTGAGATTGGCCCACAAGCCTAAATCATAAGCCCGATCCCCGATCGCCTTGCCTAAAGCCAGCGCAGGGTTCTTGGTCTCGCGATCCTCAACAATCTCAACCCCTGCCATAAGTCCACGTCCACGGACATCTCCGATACAGCCATACTTTTCCTTCAGCGCATTCAGCCGGTCATGGAGTACCTTACCCATAGCACGAGAGTGCTCCACCAGCCCATCACGCACCACAATCTCAAGCACTTTGTCACCCACAGCAGCAGGCAGTGGATCATTAACATGAGTCGTGTAGAAGCAGTAGTCGCGCCCGATGCACACACGCTCGATCTCGGCACTCGTAACAACAGCACTGAGCGGCAGGCCATTCCCTAGCGTCTTGCTGAGGGTGAGGATATCAGGAACGACACCTTCATGGTTGATAGCCATTAGATCGCCGCAGCGGCCGACGCCCGTCTGCGCTTCGTCGACGATCAAGAGCATTCCGCGCTTTTCGCACTCCCGTTTTAGAGCAGCGAGGTACCCCGGTGGTAGGACGTGCATGCCAGCCGATGACTGGATACACTCAACGATGCAAGCCGCCAGCGATCCGCACGATTGCATGTCGATCATGCGCCAGCCGTATTCCATCTCGGCTTCCCAGTCGTAGGATCCGTCGGCGCGGCGGAAGATGGAGCGGTACGCGTTCGGCGGTGGGAGCATCAGCATCCCGGGCATCAGGGGGCCTTGGCCTTTGCGACCGAAGTGGTATTGTGCGCCTAGTGCTTGCGCTGTCACGCCATGCCAGCTACCGCCTAGTCCGACGATTTCGAACTTTCCGGTGTATACCTTTGCCATCTTTATTGCTGCTTCGTTGCTCTCGCCGCCGGTGGAGAGGAAGAAGGCTTTGTCGAGCCCGGTTGGGAGAAGATCACAGAGACGTTCGCCTAGGCTTATCGCAGGGGGTGATACCATGCCTGAGAAGAGGTGGTCTAGGGAGGCTGCGTGGTCAGCGATTGTCTGCACGATCTCTGGATGCCCATGGCCGAGCAGGCAGGACATTTGTCCGGATGTAAAATCTAGCACTTTGTGTCCGCAGGCCGTGTACACGTAGAGCCCTCTACTGCCACAAATCACTTCTTTGTTGAATTTGGTGCCATAATTCAGGAGGTACTTCGATGTTTTGGCATGAAGATCTTCTTGGTTGACGTCGCTATACAAGATAGGATGGTCGTCATTCTTTGGGGGCATGATTGCAACTGTGGATTCTTCTGCCATGTTGAGATCTGCTGATGATGAGTAGAATAATTGCGCCTGAGTATTTCTACCACATGTCCGAGTGAAAGTCGCGGCCTTCTTATATCGGGTTCGTTCTTAGTTCCCCTCATTAATAAGTTACGGGGTTCGATTAGTTAACTATGTACTCTCTGCTCTTTGTTGGTATCTTGGCCGCGGAGCGCGGAGCCGCGGCCAACGGGCATCCTCACGCGTCACAACTGAAGTCTCGGCTCCAACCAAATACTAAGACCCGGTTTATGACGAAACTATTGAAACACAGCCAAATATTCGTTAAACCGAGTATTCGCAATATCCAATTGGTATATATATTGAACGAATAACATGTCGGGACACCCATACTACGCAGCGGTACCCGAATAAGAGAGCCTGTTCAATAGAATTTTTACTTTTGGTTTAGGTTGATTGCAGAGATGCAGACTGCTAGTCAAAGTCTTTGACGTGCAAATAGTCGGAAAATGGCGCCTTTTCTATGGTTGTCTCGTATGGTGCTGCCAATGTGCACATGAGAACAATATGCTTGTATCTTACTATGGCATTCAAATCACCTCACATCCCATAGAAGAGCGTACAATTTACTTGTAATACAAAACACTGCAAGAATTTTCTTACAACTATCAAAAGGGCATAATTTTGTCCAGAATTCTCAAAATCCCGGAGATAGTTAATTCAGCAGTACATGGATCCTAATCTGTACGGATTTGCATACAACCCATCGTCATAAATACTACCTGACGGAGCTGTTGAAGCACTCGATCGACTAGTCACTGCCATGAACGTACCCTATAGAGTATAGCCTGTCGACAATAATTTTGATTCCTTATACTCACCATAAAAAGGGAAAATATCAGAAACCATCCGTGTACTCCCTAACCCGACGCTCGATTTCGCGTCCAGTGCGCATCGCTTCCTGGCGGCTCGTGCGCGAATAACCAGGAAAAAGGCAATAAAGTTCCCATACACTTGTCCTGTACTGGGGTCAAGAACTTCCTCACCGTCCTCCATGAGATTGGCGTATTTGACAACGTGAGCACCAAGATGCTGTTCTTGACCGCGGGCTTGTGGGTCTGCTTGCAACACTGTCGTGCGAATGTCGCCAAATTTGTAGATGCCTCCTTTCTGAGCAGAGACGAACAGCAGTTGCATGTGGTATTGGGGCCCGCCCAGGGAAGGTTTCGACAAGGACACTATGCGCTCTTTATCGGACAAGGCGTTCAGAAGGGAGATACCGTAGTAAGATACGCCGTATGTACGTGCGGTAGCTTCAACTTCTTGCCAACCTGGTGCGCGGGGATTGATTTCGAGGAGAAAAACATCCTTTGGCTGTGTAGTTGTAGTTGTCGGTGTTTTAAGCTGCAAGTCGACAAGCCCGTCTCCGTCGGAATCCATCTTGGTATAGTGGCAGCTCGAGTTGCGCGACTTGGCCTCGATATGCAGCACGGCATTTCGAAAGCCAGCAGCCAAGGCAAGGTCGTGGAGTCTTCACTGCAGTGACGCAAGCTCAGGTGGGGGGAGAGCAGACGGTAGCATGTTTGATGTCTCGACAAAGTTTGCTACCCGGGCACCGCGTTCTTTGTTCTTGTAATCTCCAGCACTGGGAAAGCGGTCATTTACCTCGAAGAAGACGATCTCGCCATCAACAAGGACCGTATTTGCGTCGATTTCAGGCCCCTCGACGTATGTCTCGATGACAACTTCGTCGCCGTGCCAGGCGGTGAAAGACTCGCGCCATAGCAAAGGCACCTTTTCACACAGTTTCTGCTCGTTTTACACCTTCCAGACGCCTTCAGAAGACCAGCCCTTGGAAGGTTCCACGATAAGAGGGTAGGCAAGCTGTGGCCCGTCCTCGGAGAGCATCCTCTCTAGGTCGTCCGGAGAGCAGACCAGTCGGCAGAAGACGTTCGTGTCAAGCTGGCGTGTTTTAAATTTGTTCTGGGCCAAGCCCACAGACTCGATAGAGGAGGTTTTGAAGCCCAGCTGTGTGGCTGCGTGGGTTATTATGGTATGAAGGTGCTCGTCGACACTTCTCTGTTTTGCAGTCATATCCCAGACTATCTTTACTGAATGCTGCCCTCTTGTATTTTGCAACCAAGTTTGAGAAATTTCGTCTCCCATATTTTTCCTGGTCAATTGTGATTTACTACGAGAGCTGACTTTGCTTTAGCCATAAGCTACCATTTCAGAACCCCATCGAGTCAGCCATGGCTTTAGTATAGAGAAGATTCGCTTTCAACTAGGAATAGTTGGAAACTTGCTAGCCTTATCAAGATTAGGAACCTAGTTTTCTAGCGTCGGAAGTTGGCCTCTAAAAAACAGATTATTTCAAGCTAGTAGATTAACCCTCTTCTAGATATATATTAATAGTTATATCCAACTCTAGCTATCGTCTTCTATTACTTTTGGTACGACGTTTTTCTTATTTTCGTAGTGCTATATACCTTTCCTAAAATAGTAGCAAAGCGATCGCATTCTCCTTAATTAAAAAATTGTAAGGAGATGGTACCTATCCATTTTACTAGCTAAATTGGCACTAAATAGATTCAATTTATATAGATCAATATTATCTTTAAATACGCTGTAGAAATAAGAGTTATTAAATTACTTATATTTTTAGACTATTAGAAAGGTTATTTAAAGCTATACGAATATCCTACTAGTATTTAAAAGCTTGTTGGCCTCGAGGCTCCTAAATTTTTTTTCGCTATCTTTATTTCAATTTCAATAGCGGCGTGGCTAGATCTCGTCTCGGACTCTATAGGCTAGACCTTAGTAGACACTAGAAGAATAGATGAACTAGTGTAAGGAATAAGCTATCTAAGTATATAATTTCCTTCGGTAGTATATTTTATAGGAAATAGTAGCCGGATTAAGGCGCTTCGCGCGCTCTTCCTATATAATAATATTACTTGTAGAGGGCCCGCTAGTCTAGCCCGACTACACCTAAGTATAGGGACTATAAACACTTAGTATCCTATTCTTTTAGTAGAAAGTAGCCTTTCTAGTGTTTCTAGGGTAGGTAAATCGGGTCTACGCCGCTAGTTATCGGACAATCTTCGACGATATCGTATTCTTTAAGACCGGTCTCGGCGAGTACCGGAGATATAGTAGTAAGTTATTTCGTAGATACTTTTACTATAGACAAATCTGTTTTATTTATTTATAGATACTTACTCTAAAATTCGCGACGCCTACTAGCTACTTAATAGATATCGCCGAACTATAACTATCGGCTCCGAGCCTACTATAGATTTAATACGTATTATAATAGTTCTAATAGGCGCTTAAGGTTCCGAACTTAAGAATGTTTCTAAAGTTTTCTATAACCTTTAGTCCACTAGGATACCTAGTAAGGATATTATAGTCCTAGACCTACGCGATCGGTATAAATTATCCCTAATAGTAGCTTTTAAGCTATTACGCCGTCTTATCCTTAATAGAATATAAGATATCCGGGCGGAATAAGACCGCCGAGGGCTATCTTTCTCGGCGATATACCTAAATACCCTCTAGATACGAACCCTACGTCTAGAAATCGGGTCCTCGGACGCTACTATTTTAGACTACCTTAAAGTTACGCGAGAAAATCACCGGCTTAATAATATTACGATAGAATACTTAGTCGAGCTTATAAGTCTAGTAAAAAACTATCCTTATTCTAAAGATAGAATTTATGATTTTATTATATCGGCGTTATTAATAAATGCCTATCTACCTAGAATATATTATAAGTAACGTATTTATTTATTACGGTACCCTCCCTTAATTAAGTGTAGCACTAATGATTATAGGCTTCTATCTAGACTATATTTTTAATACACTTTATTATAGGCACTATCTAGAAGTATAGCGTACACTAGGGGATAACGATAAGAACTAATATTATAATACCGTGTTTACTTATTTTACGCGGTTCTTCCGTTTAATTAAGTCTAACTAGGTTATCTACGAGTATTAGAAGGGACGTATTAAATACTTATTACCTTTAATATAATAACCTAAGTTTAATAACGACTTATTTCTATTACTTATATCGATTACTAGAATATATACTAGCGTGCTAGCACGTAATCTATAATACCTACGTTATGATTTTTAGCACTCTAAATAAAAGCGCTAAATATCACTTTAATATTACGAAGTGCCCGTTATACTATAAGACTTCTTAGCTTACGATCCGTTAACTACCGCCTATAAAGCGACCCCTAGTGCTTAGTTTAGACGGTGGTAGGGTTCGTGGTATTATTTAGCTAGGTCTACTACGTGTACTAGAAAAGCGGCTTAGGTATAGAATACGTATACCTAATATATTTAATCTATCTAGAGGGATAAGCGTTAGTATATAGCAATCACGGCATTTAGTTATTTCATTTTTTTTTTTCCTTTCTACCTTTCCCGGTTCTCCTACGCCTAACTCCCGTATTAAGATTATCTAACTATAAAGTAGGGGCTCTTAACGAAATAGATCTTATTCTTAATAGTTCCTCGGCTAAAGATAGCTTTCGGAAATTTCTAGCTTTTACTAGAAAGGTCTTTTAGCTAGCCTTAGCTCCCTCGTATAAGTTCTTAGTTTTTAGTTACGCTAAATAGATAAAATATATGGCTAGCTTCCTAGTAGATAGCTAATATAATAGAATAAAGCTAGAGAATACTCTTAAAGAGATAATTAATCTAGAGCGGCGAATATTTGATATAAGTATAACTCGGACTACCGGTAGTCGAGTAGCTATTATTATAAGTCGTATTTCCGATAGGAAGGCCTACGTACTAGCAAATTATCGCGGCGTTAGCCGACGCCTAGTCGATTCGGCGTACTAATTTTTGAAACCGGAAGAAGAAAGTTAGAATCCCTTTCTATAGGAAGCGTAAGTGCTATTAATCCTATATTACTATATTAATATAAATACTAAAAATATTATATTTATATCTTTATAGAGCTAACTCTTACTATTTTATAGTGCTTATTATAGTGTCGCTACTCCTTA